CTTTAACTTTAATATTAACTATTTACCCATAAAATGTCAATATATAAATTTGACAATCGCAAGTGATGTATGAAAATCAAGCTGCAATGTGGCAACGAGTAAACAATCGACATTGCTTCGAGATTTTGATATGATTTCGATACTCGAAACGAGATTTTGATATGATTTCGATACTCGAGATTCTATAAATAATATATCGAGTATTTACAGAATAACGTTCAGGATTAATTCTGAGTCAGTAGTATATCTTTTTAGAATTCAAGTATTTCACGTTCAGCTATGTTAGATTTCGTCATGTCTCAAATAGAGATTGAATTTTAAGAAAAAATTTGCAAAAATAAAGAACGGAAAAGAATGGAACAAAAATTATCTCACATTTTGAATATTTTACATTCCTTTCCATTCTTTATTATTACAAATTTTCTCTTATATATTTCAAATTTCTTACATTATATCATGATCCTTTTTCTTTGTATTTGAAAGAGAGAGAGAGAGAGAGAGAGAGAGAGAGAGAGAGAGAGAGAGAAAGAGAGAGACAGAGAGACACTAAGAATCTCATGTGTTAATTTTTATTTTCATCCATTCCATAGTATTCTCTCCCATTTCATTTATAATTTTTACTCAATCTCTATCAATCTCTAATAATAACATAATAATGAAGAATGATATGGAATAACATAAAGAGAATAAAATAAAATCAATATGAATAAAAGATATTTAAATGTAAAAAGGGAGGAAAAATAATGTAAGAAGTTTAAAAAATAAAGAAGAAAATTTTAAATAATAAAAATGTAAGAGAATTTGTGAAAGTATTGTAATTAAATTGTCAGATTAATTCTTTACCGTTAATTTCCATTCTTTACCATAGCAAATTATCTCATGTACTTTTCAATTTCACTTATTCCCTCTCTGGTTCTAAATACTTGCAATATTTTGCAAAAAAATTACGTAGATTTTTAGTTATTACTTAGAAAAGTTTGATACACACATGCATTATTGTACATAATTGTTTGGTTGAAGGAATTTACCTGAAGTGAAGTTCGATCCTAATTATGCCCTTTTATCTCGTCCGGATGGAAAACTATGTAGTCGTGCTCCTGCACGCGTCCCGACAACAGATTTTAAATCGCCGCCAAAAACAAACCGACGGCGCCCAGCCTGCGCCCTCGCGCGCCCTCACGCGCCTCCTGCGCATGCTGCATCCTCATATTTCAAAGCGTAGAGGCTAATCGCCAAAACGGGGAGGGAAATTAAAGCGGGGAGGAAAGTCCATCCGGACGAGACAAAAGGGCATAATTAGGATCGAACTTCACTTCAGGTAAGTTCGTTCAATCAAACAATTATGCCCAAGTATGTCTCGTCCGGATGGAAAACTATGTAGATGTTCATAGTCCCGGCGATTAGCCCAAGAGAAAACCAAAGACGGACGGATAGGAATGGAGAAACCAACTGTAAAATTATATTAGACGTAGAGTACACGAGAACGTACAAAACCTACAGGAATAAGAAATGCATACATATGATGCATACGTACAGAAAATAAGAATGCATACAAACAATGCAGGTGTGCTGATACATATAGTAATCCGGCTTACAAAAGAGAAGAAAGAACAAAATTTAATCCGCAATGGACGAGAAAAAACAAAGCAGTTCGTCCTCCGTCTAATAGCGCCAACTGCGACAACCGAAAAACAAAAACGGGAAGAAGAAGAGGTTACGACAGTAACACCGCCTGACTAAAGTCCTCCGGGTTGAGAATAGGCCTATTATAAAAATTCGCGAAAACCCGCGACTCACCGGTCCAACAGGCCGCTTTCTTAATAATATCGAGCGATATGCCCCTCACCGCTGCGCGTGAAGTGGAGACGTGACGCGTACTATGGGCCGAGAAGATGGACGTGTCCATTCCGCATTCCTCGAGAGCCTGTCGAATTCACCGACTAATGGTCTGAATCGTTGCGGCTTTATAAGGTTTGGACAGGGAAAGAAACAAGAAATCACAAGCGAGAGGTCGCAATGTCTGAGTCCGGGACAGGTAAACTTCCGTAAGGAAGATACAGAGCGGTACATGATACAGAGCGGTTCGCGATCCGCGAAACGAGAGAACAAGAAAAGGGGTTGCGCTCTACCGGGAGCGGAGGTTTTAAGACGATCGGGAATACGTATAACTAATTTCTCCTGTAAGGAGAAATATGGTAGTAGGATAAATGGCGGAAAAGCATAGAAATTCAAGCCTATCCAAGATAGAGTAAACGCATCGGTTGCTATAGCGCCGGGATCGGGAAACCAGGACACGTATGAATCGCACTTGTGATTAAGAAGCGATGCGAATAAATCTACATCAAAGGAGCCGAAAATCTGTTTGACGCGACCAAATGCCTCATTCGACAGCGACCATTCCGTATCCGGATCCGCAATGTGCGATTCGGAATCGGCAATTGAATTTTCTACTGACGCGATATAAGAAGCGAATATAAAAACGCTGCGTTTCTCGCACCAACGTCAAATTTGACGCGAAATCTCATCGAGATGTGGGTACTGAACCGACCCGAATTTATTTATGGTGGCTATAGCTATCGTATTATCAATACGAAGAAGAATATCGCAATTGGAAAGGTCGGCCGCGAAACAACGAATAGCATGAAAAACCGCTTTTAGTTCTAAAGCGTTTATATGGAGTGTCTGATCCTGCAACGACCACCACCCGTGTGTGCGAAGCTCGCCGCAAGAAGCGCCCCAACCGTTTAGAGAAGCGTCTGAAAAAATTTCTCGAACAAAATGGCCAGAGCGGATGCGATTGGTTTGTTGGGGATTTACAAAGATCTGGCGCCACCAGTCAAAATCATCCTGAAGGAGGATGGGAATTTGCATGTGGGCTGAGTAATTCTCCTGAGATTGACGAAGAGAAAAAACTTTATCCCATTCAAACGCCTTAGTGTACATTAGGCCATACGGGACTGCCGGACGCGCAGAGACGAGTGATCCTATGTAGCTGGCTCAACTGCGAATCGAGCAGGTCTCCCGGCGAGCCATAGCCTGCGTGAGCCGTAGTAGTTTGAGTCGACGCTCTGACGGCAGTGAGATAGATTGGGCGACCGAATCGAAGACAAATCCCAGAAACCTGCAAGTAACCGACGGATGTAAACTTGATTTGGTGAAATTAATGATAAATCCGAGAGATTGGAGGAGAGTAAGAGATGCCTTGACGTTAGTTTGGCACTCCTGAAAAGAGGAGCCGAGAAGTAAAAAATCATCTAGGTAAATGATAGATTGAAAACCCCGTTCGTGGAGATGGGCGAAGACCGGCCTCATGATCTTGGTAAAAATAAACGGGGCAGTGGACAGACTGAACGGTAAACTGGTATGTTTGCGAGCGTCATTGAAAACGAAGAAATTTTCGATCCCGAACTGATTGAAACCAGCAAGTAGGCGTCCTCAAGGTCAAGCGAGGCCATGTGCATACCCGGTAACATGAGGCGCACGACCGTCCGCCAGTCCTCGAGTTTAAAATGAGGCGGAGTTATATATTTGTTTAGTGCCCGTAAATTGAAGATAAAGCGATGTTCTCACGATGGCTTTGCGACGAGAAAAAACGGAGACAAAAATTAATTTGAGCACGGATCGACCTGTTCAATAGCTCCCTTGATTAGTAACCGCTCAATTTCGGCATCGCACCACAAAGCCGTAGAGGCGGAGAAAGACGGCTCAGCCAGGCAAGCTCGCATGCGGGGTCTCGAGATGAACGGTATATGATAAGCCTTAATGGCCAACACTACCGTGTCCGTTGTTAAAGCGCGCCATTGTTCGAGAAATTTGTTCAAGCGACCAGCAGATCTTACAGTATTTAACGATGACGATGACAATGACGATGACGAAGCGGGACTGAGAGCGGTAGTGACGGCTCGTGGGCCGATAAGCTCCTGCACGGCGAGCCTGTTCTGGACGAGCAGGAGCCTTCCTGTTTCCCGCACCCTGCGGCTTAGTGCGGGAAGACGACGCAGACTCTGGTACGGTCCCGCGGCTGGAGAGTCCTCTTTCCTACTGGAACTGACAATTTTGCAACCTCGCGCCCTGCCCGCTCACATGCCTGCGCTACCCTGAGGGTGTCGGCGAAGTTCTGGCCAAAAAGAAAATTGTCCACTGGGGCCGTCTTGGCAGCGTTTTTCCCAAGGATATTCAGGGATGGCTTGGTAAAAGCTCGTCTACTTAATGACAAGCAGAAATGGTGGTCTGCAAGCAAATGTAAGCCCTCGGCGAAAACTATCAGGACTGACCGAGCCTCGTCCTGGAGGCCAGCCAAAAACTCCGGCCTAAGTAAGCCTGAGATGCCTGTGCCGAAGGCGTTAAGGCAAGCGTCCACCTGAGCCTGTAAGAGGGCCTGATATTCATTCCTCTTAATCACCGAGGGCGTTAAGGCAGGTACAATCTCCTTGTTAAGTTGCGGAGGAGCCAGCGACGAGAGATCGCCCTTGGCCTCATATTTGGTCAATAGCCTGGTGCGAAGCTCCTCAGGTAACCCGCT